TTATATCCCCTCCTGAGAATTACAGTGTGAAAAGTCTGAAAAGGCTGTCCCAGAGCACCCTGGCACACATTTGCCAGACAATGAGCAACATTCATTCTTTACTTAGAGTGATACATTGATTGTAACATAGACGCTTGGAAGCAAAGGGACAAGAACAAATTTGTAGTTCATTCAGCTTTTGAACAAATAAAAGGAACAAATGAAAGGAGAGCAGTATTCAAACTTTGACTGGCAGGTGAGAATACCCTAATATCAAGGCAGTGTCATCTTTTGCTTTACTGGTTTGTGTTAAAGCTCTGAATTTTCCATCTTGTTATAGGCCTTGATCTGTTTTATTCACTTCTGTATCCCAGCTACTAGAAAAGCTTTTGACATATAATAGCTGCTCAGAAAATTTTATTGAATGAATGCTATAGAGAAAGGGGCAAACAACCCTCTTTGTGTTCTCAATATGCTGGCTAGAATAGCCAAAGCCCGAGGCTTTGCTATCCCTGTTCACTTGTGACTTTTCTTGACCTTCTGTAGAAGAATGAACTTAGATGTCCTATGAACAAGGATGCCAACCACCTGCATCTCAATATAAGCAGAACTAAACCTCTGATCTTTCTCCTCAAATTAATGCCTCTCTTATATGTACATCATCTACCCAATAACTTGGAAATATTTTAGATGTTTCTCTCTATCCCATTTCCTAGTATAACCAATTTGTCATTTTATACTGTACATTTCACCCTTTGATATTGTTTTGACATTATGATCCTTCCTCACCTTGTTTTTCTCACTGCTTACTGCCTTACAGGGCTGTGTTGTATTTTGTGTTGAATAGCCTTTTATTCCTCACCTCATCATACTTCTCTGAAAGCTTTTTATTCATTCTTGTGACCAAAAGTTTCTAAGAGAAAAATACACACATACATTGAACACATGCACATATATATATAGTGTGTGTGTAGAGATACAATTACTAGTAGTCCATAAATTATAAACAGCATGAATATATGTTTAATGTTTTTTCAAATATCTTTTTGTTTATAGTGTCCCCAGGGTTTTTAAAATAAGGACAATGAGCTACAGCAGCATTCTGGAGGAATGGGAAGGTTGTCTTTGTGCAGTAAAGTAGGAAAGCATGGCAGTGTGGGAGGGCAGGGGTGTTGATGTGCCTGACTTCTGAGAAGCACATGCATCATCTTTAATATGTAATTAAAGTCCTTAATCAGTTGACTATAAGTGAATTAAAAGGGAAATTAACCTAGGCAGGACTGACCTAATTTGGTTAGCTCTTTAAGAGAGAGTCTAGAGGTCAAAAGTTGAAAGCTGGATAGGTACTATCCTGTTGGCCTGAAAGAAGTAAACTGCCATCTTGTAGAGAGGGTCATGTGTCAGAAAAGGTTAGGCAGTTTCTAGGGCCTTTGGGAAAGAATTCACATGGGAGAAAAGGAGATGAAACTTGAGCCCTTTATGGGATCCATGCCCAAAGGGCCCTAGGAGAGTCTTTGTGTTTTCCTGGGTCTCATGGACACCAGTTTGGAGATCAGTATTCTAGACCACAAGTAAGATAAGATCCCTCCCTCTGCTTAATTTTCCAGTGTTTCTCCTAGCAACTGAATGAGCTACTCTTGGGTCCTACTTGATCTGCCTCATATCAACTTAATTTTTCTCAACTTCTTTCAGTTTTCTGTTTTTACCCCTACCCTGCCCATATCAATCACGTTTTACCATGTCTTGAATTACCATACTGCTCCAGCCATCCATGTCTTCACCCCTTTCCTCATTGGCCTAATTGCAGCCATTTGCTAGGAATGAAATAAGGATTGTTAATTCTACAATGGAAAGCACCTCTCTGTAGATGTTAAATAAATGGTGGTAATTATGGTTTCCTAATACAGTTATTCTATAATAAAACAACAGTTTGAAAATTACCCATCAACTTTCTAGAGAGTAAGTGACATAATCATTATCTTTATTCTTTTTTTTTTAGAAACAGAAAATCTAGAATGAGTTCAGCTAGACTGGACTAAGAAAACTAGAAAAGTGGCCCAGCTAATGATACAAATAAAAAATAATAATTATCTGTTACAACCAGTACAAGTAAATACATCAGTTGTCCCCAAGATCCCTACCCACTGGTGTTCACACTGCATAACCTTCTCCCCTTGGGTGTGGATACAACTTTAGAATACAATGAGAGCTATTCTTGCGATTAGGTTATGTTATACAACAAAGTTGTAGAGATTTTGCATATACAATTAAAGTCCCTAATCAGTTGATTATAAGTGAATTAAAAGAGAAATAAACCTAGGCAGGACTTACTTAATTAAGTTAGCTCTTTAAGAGAGAGTCTAGAGGTCAAAAGCCCAAAGTTGGATAGATGTTATCCTGTTGGCCTTAAAGAAGTAAACTGCCATCTTGTACAGAAGGTCATGCGTCAGAGAAGGTTAGGCAGATTCTAGAAGAATTATACCACAGCCTTAAAACCACAAAAAAATGAATTCTGTCAAAACTAGTGAACTTTAAATGCAACGTGTGGAGTTTTAGATGAGACCAGAGATGTGGTGGGCACCTCGATCAGGACTTTGTGTGACCCTAGCATGGAACTCACTTGAGTTATGGTTAGACTCCTGACTCACAAAAAATATGAGATAATAAATGTGTGTTGTTGTTAGACACTAAGGTTTTGGTAATTTGTTATGCCACAATAGAAGATAGATGCACAATTGAATCCACCACCAAATTTTTGGTTTTGCACTATAGGCTTTACTATATATGTGAACCAAAACATTTGAAAGAGTATTCATAAATTATCTCTTATGCTTTCCAGAATGTCAACTTTATTTCATCTACTTCAATAAAAGTATTGTTGCTTATAGCCATATATATTTCATCTATATTTCAACTATATTGACTATTTCAACTATATATATATATATATATTCAACTATATAGCCATATATATTTCATCTAGATTTCAACTATAATATTTCAACTATAGTTCATCCACTTTAATAAAAGTATTGTTTCTTTATAGCTATATATAAATATAGCCATATATAAATATGGCTATAGACAATAATTTTATTAAAGTGGATGAAATAAAGTTTAAACATATGTATTTTTTAAACAAAACGCTATTTTTAATAAGATATTTCCAAAATATTCCCAAAGCTCAGAAGACTTTTAAAATCTGAGTGATACGGGTTTGATTCACAAATTCTAGTATCATTTTTTAGAATTAACATCCTATAAACAGTATTCTCTGCTTAACAAAGGCATTGAAATTATAGGATGCTACTTGAATAACTAGTCAGCTCCTTTTTAGACAGAAGAGAAAAAAGAAACCTACTTAATAGCTAGAAAGTGTTATAGACATTCTATTTCTTGCCTCTCTCACTCTCTTTTTTTAAAAAAATACCTTAAAGATTGGTTTGGAACTCAAGAGGAGGGCAACATTTGGATCTCTTGCCAGTTTAAGGGGGAATGTGCAGGTGAGCCGGTGTGTGTGTGTGTGTGTGTGTGTGTGTGTGTGTGTGTGTCTGTGTGTATGTGTGTGTGTACTGGTCTTATTCCAGAGAAGATTTATAAGAGTACCTAAAACACACATTCATACACAAATTTAAAAAAAAAACACAGAAGGGAAACAGTTGGTTTATTATACATAATTGGTGTGGAACAATGGAAAGACTAATAAAATGAAACAAGTCAATGAGTGGAACCAACCCAATCTATACAGAGAAACACTATTCTATGAGTCATCTTTTATTTTAAAGGACAAAATAGATGATTCAGTTTCCTTGGAACACAGTGTTTTACTCTGAAAGGCTTCCAGATTCTACAAATTTCATATATGCCAGGTACATCCTCTGTCTATGGGAGTGTTGTCCAAAATATTAAGAGTTGTCTACAACATTTCCTTTTATTAGCAGGTCTAGGTGGAGAGAGATTTACCTTGACAATACCATCCTGTAGATAATATTGAATTAGGTTTGTTCAGCAGAATTTTCCTATTATTCTGCTGTAGTAAAATATACAAAAATCAATCCATGTCCTCTTAATTGTATATTTTACTCTAGGTGCTGGTGCCTGAACTTACGTAGGTTATTTAGGTTTACATATCTGTCCGTATATACATAACTTTATGTTATCAAGCCAATTTATAACATTATTATACCTTACTAAATTTACACAATTCTATTGAATTTAAAGAATTTTAGGATCCAGTTGAAAAAAATAAGACCTGTATTCAAAGAAAAATGAAAACATTATTTAATATTATTTCAGAGTACAGTGAAAATGTGTGAGTTAACCATGGAGGAGAGAATCAAGTTCACAGATTGAAAGGAACAATACAAAACAGGTTTAAAAAAATAGTTTTTATCATGAATTCAGAAAAGCTGGGTATGAGTTGGCATAGAGCAAAAGGATTGTAGGGATTACTAAAAGACAGATTGAAACAGAATGGAGGCTGGGTACAAACACAGCCAGAGAGGTAGGGATCAGCTGTAGAGATTAGAGACATCTGTGACAAACTTCTATTGGACTTATTATTCTAAATTGCGGCCTCTGTCATTCACCAGAAGAGGCTCACCATCAGTTGAGAGCTCATGCTCTGTCTCTGGGGAGGAAAGGATACAGGATTGGAAGGTAAGGATCTAAGGTCCTAGCTGTTACTATCCTAATGACTTTGTGATGCTGCACACATTTTGTCTTTTTCTCTCTCTGTGGATTTTTAAATTTTCTCAATAGCCTTAGAATGTTTAGGCCCTTGGCATAAGTAAAAATGTTTTCTGTGGATGTGTGCATTTGCGTATTTATTTCTGTCAAAACAATCAGTCTCTGAAAATGCAAAATATTGGGTATGATTATGTAACACATTCTTAAAATATTAAAACCTGCCCACATTAAAGCATCAAGTTAAACAGTTGTTAACCTGTCTCACTAATAATCGCCTGCTTAGATCCAGTCTGTGAGAAGAAAAGGAAGCAATAAATTTGACCTTAACTTACCACATGTTTTAATTGCACAGTACTCCCAGCGGGTGTGAGGGTCAAGAGTATAGCACCATGGCCTCGGCTTGCCATCGGGATTGCGGCAATAATTATCATCAAAGCCCTTGTCGGGATATCTGCAAACCACACCAAGAAAAGTGTCACGTAAATCTGCCTTGAACACCACCCACCCCTCAGCTCACAAAATAACTTTCCACTTAGGTTGTCTACACCTAGCTGGGGAAAGAGGACGTTTTCTGTTTTGCCTTACAAGGACTGCTGATCACTGACTACTCTACTAATTTACATATCCCACTAAAGATAAAGTGTCATCCTCTTAGTAATAAGTTAGGTCCATGTGGTACCTTTCCACTAAGTGAGGTTCCAAACTGAGTCTCTTTCTCCTAGAACCCAATTAAGGGCAGATTACAAAAGCATGACCTCATGTAGAATGCTCATTAAGAAAACAAGTCCTCTTCTGGGCTAGGTTTAAAGTTCAGACTAAAAGTTCAGTTTCAATAGCGCCGTTACTAATGACAGCTCAGTTTTGGAAATAGAGCCTTTGGAGGTCATGCCCTCACCTTCACCAGATCACGAGACAAACTTCATCACACCACTTTCTCCACACCCCACCTCCCTTCAAATTAACAGAGTCCTGAATTGGTGACTTGATTTTAATTGCTACCATATCCCTTCTGTTCTCAGTTAAATGACAAGACAAGCATTTATTTAAAAAATAAGCTGGAGTTTTAATTTCACTTAAAATGATAACAACAAACAAAAAAGGATAAAGAAAAAAGAACAAAGAAAAAACACCTAACAGTAATTTCCAAAGAAAGGTGGGGGGCAGAGTTTCCTGTGTAATTATTTGTATTTTTATTCTTTATAATCAAAATAAAGGAATTTCTTCCTTTTTTTCTTTTACCTTGAAAGTTTCATGTAAAATACACAGGCAAAAGTAGACATGATTTTTTGGGGGATAATGATTTAAGCTCAAAATCTACTCCTGGGGAAAAAAGACAGATTTAGTTGCCTGACTTCTCCAAACAGGCTTTTTATATGGGCAATTTCAAAATACACCAGGATAAAGCAACCTGAATAGTTTGTTCTACTTTTTACTCCCTTTTTTTGAGCACACTTATGTCATCCTGTTATGAGCCTGGTCTGCAGTACCTGAGTCTCAGAAGATTTCCTGCAATCAGCAATACCTCTAACCACCGCTAACACTTGCCACCATGGTCATCCCTGAATTGGCCCTGTGGCTTGCTTTGGTTTTGTTTTGTTTCTGCTCAGAGAAAGAGAAGCTTCTTTTAGTGCTTCCACTCTATACCCCGCTGATGATTTTGTGTTCAGGACCATGCTGATTTTAGAAATTCTGACCAGTTAACTATGTATTCAGTGTTCTCATATACCTCATCTTAAATCTCTTTGCCCCTAGACTATTTCCTCCAAACATAATTGCCAGAAATTCTGTCAGAAGAATATTGAACATTCTGAGAGTTCTAAATGTTTTGTTCGTGACCTATCAGGAAAACATAATATAAAGAGAATTTCCACAGCATTGTGTCATAGAGTGAATAACAGTTTGTAAAAGAATCAATGAAAGCATGATTCATTAGTATTTTACCTTTCAGGCAAGAATTTATGCCGGTGTGGTGTCTGATGATCCCAGCGCTGGCAAATCTTGCCTGATTCTGTATGATCCATGAGACCTCGATAATTTTCCCCATTGCAGATCAAGCATTCAACTAATAAAATTAAAGTATGGCACGTTAATTGTTTCTGACAGCAAAATTAAAAACACAACTGTTCCATTTAAAGAACAACACCTGTTTAGCAAACAGATTTTTAGAAAATCCTACACATCATTCTAACTTTATATTAGGGCCCAATGTCCATAAATAGTGACATACACTACTCCCTACAGAACACATCATACAGTTTAAGTGGGATTTTTGTAATTAGTGTCACATAATTTTACTGTAGGGCCACAATGCTGTCTATCTGATTTTTCAATAACTGTCTCAAATGTATCTAGAAAATGAAAATAGAAGACAAATCCTTGGAGATTTTTCCTGTGTTGATCTAAAACACAAAGATCTGAGTATCTATATTGCCAGCACAATAGTGTTTCTCTCTCAATTTGCCCTCCAAACACATCTACAGGAATTACAAAGTTTAACTGAGTTTTTGTCATACTTTTATGGTTAATGCCATAATCAGGACCACATAGATTTAAGAGATTGGCTTCATATAGAAATCTGGTACAAATCAAAGAACACAGGCATTTAAAAAAAATAAATCACAGCTCCTTTCTGTTAGCGAACATCCATGTTGAATAGGCTGGGCAGGTTTGCATTTCTATCTGGCTTAGGATAGAAGATGACCTGCTAATGAACTCCGTGTTCCCACTCTTTTTTAAAATGTATAAGCTGATCTAATTAGGTAGGATCTTACTGATGATTTTGTGAGGTTAATTCATTGTTCTCTTCTGGCTGGCCTCTTATGTCACACTGAAAACTGAATCACATCAATTGCTGAAAGTGAGACTTCTCAAACAGACAGGTTGATTTGTAGCACAGCAAGCATCCTGTGGAATAAATCATTGCTTGGCTTTCCTATGAATCAGGCAAACTTCCTTAAACACATCATTTGTATCTTACAATTACTGACCATCTAACTTTAGCTGAAGTGGGAAGAGGCATCACTGTTTAGTTTTATGCAATGGAATCTAACCTATAGAGTATTTGTAGTAATTTGGGATATAGTATTTGAATAATCACTTTTGAATCTTTGATTGTTATAATCTAACAGGGACATCGACTATTAACTTTCTGAAACATGCAACAACTTGGCTTGATTCATCTAATTTCTTTCATTTACATTAAAACATGAGCTAAGAGGCCAACTCAGCTTCCCCTCATTTGATATTGAGATTCCCCAGACTACAGCCAGTAAGCCCCTGAAATGTAAATGAGCATATCAATGAAGGTGCTCAGGTTGGCCAAGTTCATTGGAGTGCTTAACATAGGTGATGCAATATTACACCTCAGCTTTCCATTTGAATGATTAACAGATTCATTTAGTTTTCTCTTTTTTTAAAGAGTACAAAGTTTGATACCATCAAAGAAAATGATGCAGCATTCATCACTATTTGTTCCTTTGTATTGAATGAAATGTAAATAGAGTACTATGGTCACATATAAAAGATAAGTATTCACATATACAATTTCTACTCTTGTATAGTACTTAGGAAAGAGATTACATCTATTATGCCTTTTGCAGCAAATGCAGCTTGCAATAGTATATCCCTTTCTAATAACAGTGAATATAATTATTTTCTGGGAATCACTGCACTGAGCAATATTATTTTAAAAAAAGCTAAGATGACCACTTTCCATTATGAGTGTAGCAGATCAATGCTTGTTCCAACATGAATGTGCATAAAAACCACCTTGAGATCTTATTAAGAGACAAATTCTGAGTCAGTGGGTCTGGGCTGGGACATTAGTAACAAGCTCCCGAGGGTTGCTGCTGCTGCTGGTGCTCGGACCTCACTTTGCTTTGCAACTTTCTAGATAACGGGATCTATTCTCAAAGTTCTAACGATTTGGCAGTAATGGTTTTTTAGGAGAGACTAGATTTTACTGGGACCTTGAATGGATGACAGTTGGATAAATTATAAAGGGAAAAAAATAACATAAAATCAGAAGCATAAGTATGCTATTGTTGGTAGTCAAGTGAAGAGAGAGTTATGTTTGCAGTCATGGGCCTAAGGAGATAAAAATAAATAAATAAAAGTTAGCAAGAATAATGTTACATTTTAGAAAACAATGAAAGTTATTGTTGGGGTGGGAATTTAACATGCCATGGTAGAATTGAGATGCTTAAATATATTATAGTTACATATTATTTACTAGTTTATAACATACTTTTAACATAAAAGGTATCAGCTGAATGCAGTGGTTCATGCCTGTAATCCTAACACTTTGGGAGGCCAAGGTGGGTGAATTGCCTGAAGTCAGGAGTTCAAGACCAGCCTGGGCATGGTGGCATGTGCCTGTAGTCCCAGCTACTTGGGAGGCTGAGGCAGGAGAATCACTGGAACCCAGGAGGTGGAGGTTGCAGTCAGCCAAGATGGCACCACTGTACTCCAGCCTGGGCAACAGAGCAAGATTCTGTCTCCAAAAAAAAAAACAAAGAAACATGAAAACATGACAGGTATCATTTGATTCTTACAGTGAGGAAAACAAGGCTCACAAAAGTTTTAAGAGACTTACCTAAAACACAAAATGTCAGAACTGAGCCTTGAACACAAATCTTCTGACCCATAGTCTTACTATTCTTTGCATCCCAAAATGCCTTTTTGTTTTACATATTTTAACTGTTTATATTTTGTGATATACTGATAGTAATAATTTTAGAAAGTTGGTATCCCTGTCCTTTTCAACATTGTCCTCATTGCACTCTGCCTTTTTGTTTACAATAGTTAATGTGCTCTCCTGTTGTGGTCTCATCTATTGCAGCATTGTGGGAAAGTGGCCATGGGAACGTAGCTAGATTGGATACCTTATCCAAAGTCAGTGGCTGAAAAGTTGGCTGTTTTACCATGGAATCAAACCATCAGGTTAGTCATAAGAATTATCTCAAGAAAGCCAAATTTTTAACTTATATTTACTTTTCAAACTTTGGGAATTCTCAGACTCTTGTAAATTTTCTTAAAGTCAAGCAGTTCAGGTGAAACCAAGTCCATGTAATCAAGGAAACGGGTGAACGTATAAACTATATAACAGTGTAAGGGGGTGAGGGATGTCCTTTGGCTCTTTCTATTGCTGTCAATACATTATTTAACTGCTCCAGAAAGTTCTTCTCCTAAAAATAAGTTTTAAAAAGCAAACTACTGCCCTAGATCACAAAAACTCACAGAGTAATGGTTTCTGTTCATCAGCTCAATATTTTTTCTAAGTATAGTTCTGGACCAGATAATAGTAGAATATTACAAAAACTATATATAAATTATAAAACACATAGGATTAATTTAACAGGTTTCTCATCATACTAACCAACCAAACCTTAAAATAATGTGTTCCATTTTTCTCAGTCATAAAACAGGAGTGACATGAGTATACAGACTAAAACCATTAGTTTGAAAGTATCTGAATCTATTTTTAATTAGTGTTTGTTTTATTCCATTAAAAACAGTCTCTCAGAAAAATCCATGCAGTGATTACTTCAACAAAACTGAATGTTTAAATTATAAAGTCTCACAAATTTACATATATAAATACAAGTTTAAAAATAAATTATAACTTGCCATTAAATCTTTATAACTTGCCATTTAATCTTTGTTTTTAAAAGTCTTTCTTCACATAGAGTATCAAATTATATACATAAACTTATGTCAGTATTATTTGGGATTTTAAATGTATTTTTTGAATTTATGGCTTAATTAAAATATATTTACTTGATCATTTGACAATCATTAGAAATGACATCTGTTCCAGTGACTAATGATTGTTTTATTTTAAATTTCAAGCAAACGCTAAAGCAAAAAATTGGATTTTACATACCTCAACTTTCTATAAGTTTAGAATCAAGCACTACTTATTTTATTTGTATAACTATATAAGGTTCTTTTTTAAAATTGTCCAATAAAAGTATACATATTTATCATGTACAACATGAAGTTTTGAAATATATGTACATTGTTGATAAGTCTAGTTAACATATGTATTACCTCACATAGCATTTTTGTGATAAGAACATTTAACACCTAGTCTCTTAGCATTTTTTAATGTACAATATAATATTATTAACTACAGTCACCATTCATGCAATAGATCTATTGAACTTATTCCTCTTATCTAATTGAAAAGTGATAAATGTGATAAAAGAATATTTGTTTTCTTTTAGAATATTTGCTATATTTTAGAATTTTAAATTATAAGAAAATAATATTAATTATTGACTATCAGATACAATTATTTTATGATCCAAAATTTTAAACAAATTTCAGGTGATTATGTAGCCACAATTTAAGCATAGTTACAAACATTTCAAAAAATATATACTGTTCTATATGTCTTTTTCATTTGAACAGTCCAAAGTTTGATCACAGGTATTTTTCTTTTTAATTTTAAATATGCAAAATTATTTTATAGCTGCTACCTCAGCCATAATAAAATAACCTTTATAACTTACCATTTAATTAGTATCCATGGATAGAAATGGCCCATCTATTATACTATTTAAGCATTCTGGATTTTGAGGTTTCCCCCTTACATATGTATTTTAGAAGAAATTTATATCATGTCTCCATTATTTTGTATATTTTATATTATTGGTTTTATAAGTAACTCTTTTTCTCCGCCAAAGTTTTGACAATGCTTATTTTTTTTATCTTTTTCATTAAAATCCTGCTAACACATTTCTTGTGTTAGCTTGAATTTAAAATACCACAGTTTAACTCATACTCTCTGAAATATGTTTAACCTACATGGCAGATGTTCATTCCCTTCTCCCACAGGAGAGTTATTCCATGATTGTCAGTCCACTAATTATTTCCAGAAAGAATGTATCTTTATCCTTTAGTGCCGTGGTGACCAATAGCATCAGGTGCTATTAATACCAATGAACAGTGCCCTAAGGGAGGTGTGATGACCTCAAATTATTAAAGGTTACTAGAGAGTTACATTCTAATGAGATAAAAGTAACTGCAAATTTATTCAAGAACTTCTTTTCTAGCACTTTTAATCCATGTCACCTAGCAGTCCAGTCCTATATAAGTATATTTTGATGAATGTTTTTCTTATAAACCCAGAGTTGAAAAATCACATTCTCATAAGAACCAGGCAGGTAATGAAAATGGTAAGCTGTTTAAAGTTTGGCCAAGGTACCAGCCTTTGAAAACACTTTTTTAAGGTCAAACAAACCAATAAACAAAACCCCTTTCCAATGATTTTTCAACCTCAGAAAACTGAAATAGGAGAGATTCCCCTAAAAGTTGGGTTTTTTCTTCCATGTGCAAGTTTAAGACAAATATTAATTCATTCAGACTTATTCATACAAAACAGACTTGTTCATAACGTGGTCATAGAAAAGTTTATTATTTTTAAAAGAAAAGAAAACAATGAAGAAGTTATAGGGAACAGAATATGATATGGAATGGAAAGTAAGAATTTACAAACAGAGATGGAACTGGCTCTAGCACATAAAGTCAAGGATTTAAAATTCACTAACAACAGAAAACAAATCCTTCTCTGTGACAATTAGCTAACAATAGCCTTTACTTGTTATGTGATAAATATCAACCTAATATTAAATGAATATTTATAGAGGAAATATATTTTAAAATATTTGATTAATAACAAACAGGTAAGATACCTTAGTATAAAACTTGGACAGCATTCCAGTAGTCCCCATCCCCAAATACTTCAAAATCCTAATAATTTTCTAACAGTTTCATCCATGTTTCACTTAGATTTTTGGAAATTTAGAGTTTCCAACAGAACTGAAAAATCCAGCTATTCAGTAGCCAAATAACTAAGAAAAGTGAAACCACATACAATGCTGAAATGGTTACTCTTCCATCTTGACAGCCATTCAGTTTTCCACTGCAAAAGTAAGGACAATGCCCTTTTATGCTGTGAGAAGAGGTGAAAACACAGGCATGGATTTAAGGTGCCTGCCTTCAAGACAGTTTGGGATCCATTGCTTTGATCTCTTCAAATCCTATTCTGAATGGTACTCAGTTTCAGTCTATGTGTCACATTTGATTCTAGGCACATTTTCACCCAAACGTGCATAGGGTCAAACTTCCAGTGATCCCTTCTTATACTGTATTCTCTTCTGGGTCCATATACCCTTGTCACACCACTTCAGAGTAGTTTTGACAAAATTTCTGTGGAAGCAGGTGCTGGATGAATAGAATTAACATTGCTAAGGAAAGGCTAAACTTCATTCAATTCCTTTCAGGTACCACACTGGAGGAGATTTTGAGGTATGTGAGCTCAAGATAGTAGGTAAGTACACCCACTGTTTCACTTTCCCCAGAGGGATGTCTCAGGCAGTGTTGAAATTCAAACTGATAACTCGCTCTGTTATTTTGCATTAATCTGGTGATAATCCGACAGTTTTAAAAACATTGCGTAAAACTGTTTAAATAATTATCTGCAGTTGCATTTGCATGAACAACACATTTATTATGACTGATTCATTTCTGTTAACCTTTAATGTGAGTTACAGTTCTACACATAGAGGGAGTAGAATGCCCCACCTGGCATTCAGGTTTATTTACCTTCTGAACACTGAGGAATGTCACATTCTTCGTAGCGTACCTCTGGATTGCTTGTGAAACACCAGGGTCCCCCTTCTTCCCCTTGAGGATTTCGACAGTAGTTTTCCTGTAGGTCTTTACCCCGATAGCTCGAAGGCAAAAAGCTAGTTTTAAAATGATAATCATTACAGAATAAGAGCATGCAACCTTTTGGGCCTATTAATTTTACTATTTAGTGGGTATGTTTTTGCTGAAAGTAGAAAAATCCTTTATTTTATCTTAAATACCTTCATATACTTTAACTTAAATTCTCTCGTTTCCATCTATTCTTAAAATCTTTGAATTTTAACATCCATTTAGCTGAATTTCCATATTTAACATCAAGTAAGAAAGATTAACCTCTTAATTTGCTAAGAGCCAAATATTCCAGAACTTAATTGATGTTGTTTGAAACATAATTTCAAAGCTCCACTCAAAGATAGCAGGTGATTGAACAAGGCCCCTTAAGAGATAACTGAGAAAACACTGCCACTAATTTTGAAATCTCACTATTACTTGCATTACTTATTTGAGATCATTACTTATTTGTTTATTGTTTTTCTTATAAATAGCTCCCTTTTTTCTACACAATTGAGAAACAGATTTATTAAGTAACATGAATAGAGTCCAGAATCCAATTAAATCTGGGCTCAAACTTGAGCTCACTCTCTTACTGTGAGACCCTAGCAAGTAATTTAGCTTCTCTCAGCCTATTAGCTTACCTGTGCACTGAGTATAACCATCACCTATAACGTCTTATACCTTATATGGTTATTTTTTGAGAAGTTCCAAGGGACGATAGAGTAATTGACACTTAACAAGTGCTACCCCTTATTAAGCACACTCTACTTTGTAGTCTGTATCTACTCCGTCCTAATAAAGAACAGAATTGCTAATTCTTTTCAATAATTTTGATCATTTTGACTGACTGAAGCTTAGTGATCCCAGTTTTGGTTTATAATAGTAAGCCATTGGGTGCAGTAACTGCAACACATTATTTTTACTTAAAATTTCGAGTGCCCTACTCATAGTTTTGTGACCAGCATAAAGTATTTTAACACATCAGAAAAGCTCAAGTCTTTTTTTATACTTTTGTACTGCTTGTGATATTGGACTCAACAATTAGATATTACATTTGTCTGCCAGACTTTACACAAAAGATCACAATAAAGAATATACATCCATAGGTAATACCAGTAAACATTTTTTGAAAATCCAGTTACATTTTTAATATTCAGTTTGGGTTTTGCTATAAAGGCTTTATTTCTACTTTTACTGAGACCTTGAGTTCTAGACGACACTAAAATTAGAGTGAAGTCCAAGGATTTTAATCTCTTAGTAAATATAAATATTCAAATGTGTTTACTACCCAATGAAACTTCTAATAAACTATGATTTTTCACATTGTGACACAAAACAAATACAGATATGCGTCATGTACCAAGCAATATTTTGCAATTAAATTCTTTCATTTTGACATGAGCGTACTCTAAAGTTAAGTCTTCAAAAAATATAAATTATTGGTCCAAACAAATAGTGTAAGAGACTTACTACTAACTAAACATTTTCAGAGAACCAATTAAACATTATCGACATTATGCAACCTCAGCGTGTTTGAATAGTTAATATCCTTACTTCACTAGCATTCTAAATATGGAGAAATAGAAATAAGACATGTTGTCAGACCATATGACTGACAAAAAATATAATGAAACTAACATTCAGCATGATTTCACAATTTCTAACAGTAAACTTTTTTAAAAAGTCATTTTTCTTACTTTTTGCTCCATCATTCCAGAATAGTTGAGTGCATATTTTCTTTGGGCCATGGCTTGAAATTTATTTTCTTTCATTTTAAACACTTCTTCAACTTTTTGTAATAAATTTTTATAAAAATACTTTTCTGACAGAATCAAAAGTGACTTTTGTTTTATATGTTTTCAAGCAGTCATGCACCAATCAAATTTATTTAAGCAAAGTATACTGTAGCTCTATTTTATAGAAAAAAGTCGATACGGTAGGGTGGTGAGAAGTTATTATTAATCATTAAACCCATATGGTTGCCCCATATCTATCAGTCCTAAGTAGTATATGACCTTAGTCCTTAGACAATTAATTTACTCTCTGGGTTTTAATTTCTTCACTTAAATAAATAGAGTGAACTATAATTTCCCTTTTTCCATATTATTTTATAAATTAAGATTATTTAAGGAACCTAATAGAGCAAATGTTCAATGTACAAATACTCAATATATATAGTTTGAGAGAGGATTTTTTGACCCCTCTACACATGCACACCAAAATACACACCATGACACACACACACACCTTTCCAGTGGATTTGTAAAACCAAAAAGAAGCTGTGAAGTAGTGAATTAATCAGTCAACAATTTATTAGGAAAAATACAGGTAGAAAGGAAGAGAGAATAATGTAGAAATCAAAAGTACACATGGCCAAAAGATGAATAAAATTTGCTCATTGGAGTTAATAAAATTAGAATGAAGAGAAAAGATGGGCTTCCTTCCACAATTTTGAATCAATCCATATCAAATTCCTGTCTAGGACATGAAGGTTAAAGAGCAGTCTGGGTCCTCTGTTTTCTTCATTCTTTGGTGTATTTTACCTTTTACCTAAATTAACTGGTTTTGTGTGTGTGTGTGTGTGTGTGTGTGTGTGTGTGTGTGCGCGCATGAGCGCACATGTATGTGAGTGTCCCAACGTGTTTCACCTGCTTTTCTTTAGCACCCCATATTTGACCAAGAAATGAAGCCTAGCTCTACTCTTTCACTTATGGTTGTTTATTCAACAGGTGTTAATAGAATCTATTACACACAAAGCCTGTGCCAGTCAGCAGATTCTGTAATAAGCAGTTATTCACATATACACTATCTTGGTTCTCTGTCCTTGCTGTTGGCAAGGTTTTAAGAGAGATAAATGAGAAAATGTTTAAAATTGGGTTACATCCAAATATACTTTGAAATATAAACTAGATCTTCTAGGTGCTAGGCTCCCTTTGTTTTCTTTTAATATTCACTGTGTTCCTAGGAAACTTGATTTATCCCATCATCTGATTCATTAATGAATGCTGGGTGGCCAATGAAGGATACAGATGTAGATATCAGGTCACCTGATTTTCTAGTTAAGCTTCTATACTAATTTCATCATCTATCATCATCTTTCCATTAAGCTACTTGTAAAATATTTCAATTTAGGGGTCAACAATAAATCATTCCTCCAGACAGAAGCATATTTCTTTTTCTATTTTTTGTACAATTAATCTTTAGTCAACATTTAACTTTAAAGTGTTAAGCCATCATGCTGATATTCCAATAAGCTGCTAATTGATGAAAATTAAGTGTTGTCCTCGTTGAATACAAAAAAGAATTTGATTAATAGACTGGATCCTCTCAGCCATAAACATCTATATCACAAGGAAGTGTTCACTAGTAAAATAGCTGATTGAACTGGGAAGCCAGTTCCCAGGGAGATCTATTTCACGTTTACTCCTCCAGCAGAGAATCACAATCATGGAGAACTCAGGGTGAAATAAGACCTCTACTAGGTCAGTCCAATGCATTCTCCTGGACGAGGTCAGATTGATTTCAAATGTTATTCCTTTGTTCATGAAAAACTTAGAACCACCTACTTAAATGTTTTTTTCCACTATGCAGGGAGTAACACTATGCAAACTCTCAAGAGAGGACAAGGCTAATTATGTTTGTTTTTGTAATATAACTGAAATGCTATATTTTAGAGGCATTTCTACATAATTGCAAGTACTAATTTCTGAAAATTGTTGTTTTCTGTTATTGAAATGTTGTAGAGCTGATCAGCTTGGACACTTACTAGCTAGTGTTAATTAGGCAAAGATCATAGGTTTAATCCCAGTGTGGAGCAACAAACTCTCTTTCTGTGTTGGTCAGTTAACACATTTCTGTTTCCTAATGTAGAATCATCTTGCAGAATTATGTCCCCAAAATGGAATATAATAAAAAGTGGATTCAACAAGGCAGTCATCACCACCACTGCAAAAACAAATCACATCATGGATTATACTGATAGGCCAAGTGTTTCACGCCCGAAGGTTGATAAAAGCAGAGGTAGAGTGATGGTGACCGGGCTGATGTTCTGGCCATACCACTTCCTAGTTGTGCATGACACTGAAAACTTACTAAGTGTTTTTATGCTTCAGTTTCACCATGTAGATAAAATGGAACTAATAAAACTACCCACTGTGTGGTTCTTATAAAGAGTAAAGGAGATTAATAAGGTATATTGCTCAGCACGGTACATGGTAAAGTAAACCTTCCAATTCATTACCACCAAGGAGAGCGCTATTTTAAACTACTTTGGTTTCTGATAAAATTGTGTGTGAAATAAGCCTTGACTAATTCTCCAGTCAGTATTAGGTATCAATCCTTTTCCTAGTGATGATTAAAACTCTCAGTCTGACGAGCCTAAGGGTATTACGTTTACTCACGTTTAAATAGTATCCATCTGTTGTAATGAACACGTTTATCCTGTTTGGTCGTTAGGCAACAGGTGAAATGGAAAAGGTAGTCAATCTGAAGCCTGAGCTTTGAGCAGTGGTTCTCAAATTTTTGGCTGCCCTTTGGAACCATGGGGAGAGCTTAAAAAATACTGGTACCTATTCTCCCCTGAGATTCTGATTTAATTATTCTGTGTTGTCATCTTCTAAGTAAGATTCCTCAAGGGCTTGCAGCAAGTGATTTTAATGTGCAACCAATGTTGGGATCCACCAAGGTTAAAGAACCCTCAGCCCTCAGTAAGGTAAGAATCTAATCTACCTCCGATTTTTCACACTCAACCTCTCCAGCTGCACAGTGGTATACTTTCTCAAAGACAGAAAGAGAATCGTTTTAAATGAAGTTTACATTATTATTTCACAAATACCGAGACCTGTAAATTGAGGCATTAAGGTAAGATGTTGTTTTGGCCATATTTTATTAACATATTAATCATTTGCTAAATTTCAGTCATGAATTTACATAAACCTTGCTGTAATACAATTCAGGAAAGTTGGCTAAATTATTCTATGATTGTATAATTATTCTGTAGGACTAATATGAGACTGTTAACACATATAAAAGACAGAGGCTCCATCCTCTTTTCTTCATACTGTTCTTACCTGTGTTCGTGTGGTACCATGGAACTCCAGGGCTGACATTTGATGCCACTTTTAGTGATAGATATTGTTCCCTTGTAGCTGCCTCCTTTACCAATGATGCAGTTTCTAATGTAGTCTATTGAAGAAAGCAGATAAAATTATTGCAACTATGTAAAACATATGCTGTATTTATCAAAGAAAAAACAAAATTCCATTCAAACCTATAAGTAATTAACTCTTGAAAACTATTTCAAATGACATTGAAATTTCCTGCCTAAAGCTTCTACTAGTATTTTCAAAATAACACATTTCTGAATAATCCAAAAAAGATGATTGAGAAGTTTTAATTTTGTGTATATATGCATAGATAACTAGAGATTCGTCTCTATACTTAACATAGTTTGTATACTCAACTAGCGAAGCAATTATGATTTGCTCAAATATATAGACCATTTTAAGAAAATATTAAAAACAAAAATTAAGTGATTTTTAAAACCTATATTGAATTCAAAAAATTACTTGAGATAACTTGTCCTTCTTAGTGAAATTGTGTGGGTTTTGTTTATATATGCATATGCATGAGGTAGCTTGCTTATTATTTTCCATATTTTTGCAAACATTTCTACTGCTATGATAGGACAACCAAATTGTAATAACCTATATATATTCCTACCAAATAATAGTACATGCAGTTTTTAGCAGGCTAGAAGAGAGTTTGAAGTAAGAATAGTCTTATACTAGATCATGAATTATGTTTAGAATTTGTAGTATTATTGAGGTATGTAAAGATTATCTTATTTCTACCATGAATTTATGTTTAATTTTATTTAAATATTTACCCTATTAACTTGAAAACATCTATATATTGTACCATGTTATTTATCCAAATGTAATATGACACAGTTGTTTAACATTCTTCAGTTATTTCATTTACTTGATTCTGCTTTTGAACAAAGTAAATACCTAGTGAATACAATATCAGACCACCAGAATAGATAATCAACCAGTAATATGATCTCAATTATTTCTTTAAAGTTGTTTTTCAAGTATATGATGAAACATAGTCCCAACTCATTTCTCCAGAATCTCCATATTTTGTTATTATCAGTGAACATTGCTAAAATTTAGTTATCCAACATTGTTAAATGTAAAATACTGTAGCAAACTCAAAATTTGCTGTAATATGAAGTGCTCTAAACTAATGAATTAAAGTAGCACTTTCTAAAATGGAGAATGCTAGTTCTAGGAGTTGCTCCAAAAACAAAAAAAGAGGGAGAGAGGAATCTAGATTATAGAAAGTTCAGAAAATGCTCTCTTTAAAGTGCTATATTAAAAATAGTCAAAATACTAGTTTCAACTGTCTTAATGGATGAATCGACTACATAAAATATCCCATATATAATAGAGAAATCAGTGGGAAAGACCACTCTGGAAGGAAATTACAAACATATATTTCATTATACCTTATTTCATTATGCAATATTTAGGGAGAAGTCAGTTACCTTTGTTTTCATAGAGGTCAAATTCATGGCCAAATTCTTTTCTCACTCCATTTGACATGCTATTGAAGGGAAACCAGAGGCATCGTTTTCTTGCTTTGTCAAAAACAAAAGCCCTGAAAAAAAATATCAGAATGAAAAGAAGAAATACTATTACTTATACAATATTTAAAGAATTGACATATGGTTCATCAAGGAGGACAATATAAAAACAAATTCATAATTACATATATATAATAAAAATATGAGTAAAATTTGAATCTACAATGTTGATAGCCAAACAAGAAAGAACAAACTTAAGGTTTTGTAGGAGTATATTTAAATATCAGATTAAATACTCTTTGGAATGTTCTCATGTTATTCTGAAAGACTTGTAGAAAAATAACAGTTTTAACATGTAAAATCAATATGTAACACAAGTATTTGAATTATTTCTGAGGGCTTTATTTTTCCCACAGCAAGTTGGAAGGTTTTCTCTGAAGTTGTATAAAAATGGTATTATATTGAGATACTTAAGTTATCTCAGTTATATCCGAGATATCATGAGTAATTTCCAAAATGTGTAACTGTAAAACACATATTCCAAAATGACATTTTCTAAGATGCGTTAGATAAATCAAGTGTTTGGAAATTTTTGCATATAATGTACCTTTTCTGGTGAATTATAAAACATTGCAGCTTATTAAAAGCTATGAAAATCTTGAGGATAACTAAGCTACTATTTCCTAAATAGGTTTGCTTATATAAGGATTTTTAATTGAAAAAAAAAAAACTAGTAATATTTGAGATAGCATCTCAAAGAAAGTTACTGAAATATGCCACCTCTACTATTCCTATAGCTAAGTATTATATTGGTTTTTTGTTGTTGTTCAGTTAAAGTATATAACAAAATGATATATACCCAAAAAGTGATAAATTTGTTTTTAAGTGATTCCATCTGTAAAGTGGGTAACAGGATTTCCAGTTTGCTGATCTCATTGATTCTTTTCTCTCATTCCAATACAATGACAAATTCTTTAAGAAAGGTGTTTTTAAATATTGTTTTACACCTCCCTATAAAGTGGGCGGAAGACATCAAGTTCCATGAGTTGCATTTTCTTTTAGGTTTGACTTTTTGTGTCTTTATCTTAACATCGTTTTGGCTGTAATCTTCTTTTCAACAAGCTTACTTTGTCTATTTCCTAGTTGTTTATGGCAGGAAGGCAATTCCAGTACCTGAAAATTTAGCCATTTAGCCATGGTTAAAAGAGGGAAGCTTCCTATCTCATTCTTTTAAATTGAATTCATGAATGAGCAGTTTCCTGAAGAGCTTAGAATCAGGCATTCTTGTTCATCTTTCCTACCCAGCAAAGACGAATTCGAATCTCTAGAAAATTAATATTGTTGATATCTTCTCAAGAAAAAAACAGTATTTAAGAATGTTCCACCTCACACCCATTCACTTCACAGATGCTTTCGCACACTTTTTGGTATTTTAGAAGTGGTTTTTAAATGATTCTGTTTTATATAACAAGTTTACAAACCAGATTCTTTGATTCATTAAGACTCTAAGTTCATAGTATCATAGTATATTCATTCAATTCTGTATAGCTAACATATTTAATACTTATATTAAATACATGTGTGTGCGTGTGTGTGTGTGTGTGTGTGTATGAATGAGGAGGATTTTGCCATTTCTGGGTCAAGGAATCTTGGCTCTAATACATAATATTACCTATGGTTATCTGCACAGGTTGCCATAAATTTGGAGATAAAATATAACTCAACCAAAATATGGTAGGAAGGTATGAAACCTCATATATATGGAATATGTGAGCACCTAGTAATTTATTAATGTTTTCTCCAGTGCAGTAAAATCATTTTAGTTCCTACTAAATAAAACAACAAGGAATTTTTCTTTCCTAAGCATAAGGTTGACTGATGTGAAAACTGAACGGTAGCAATACTTTCCTTATTTGTGAGTCCAAGACAGTTTATTTTGAAAGTTAAAAATCAGCAATGAGGTGTCCTCTCTTTCCCTTTTTCCCACCCTTCCAACTCTGAGGGGAAAATATAACTCCATCCTCCTCAACTGCTGGAACATCCGTGTGAATCTACACAGCTGAGATGTTGTTGGAGAGTAGTTGCCTCTATTGTTAACAGCATTAAGGCTTTCATTGGGAAGTCAGGGAATAAAACAGTATTATCATACGAATATACTTGCAAAGTAAATTCCCAATCCCCTTGCCAAGAGCTATCTCCCTGAAATTGGTAGTTTCACTGTAAAAATTGAAAGCAGATAAAGATCTTTTCTGACAATGCTCTTTCCTCCTAGGCCCGTAACATTTATTTCTCTGAAAAAGGCAAGATGAAATTAGGACTGCTTGCCATGACCTTACTAAACCCTGTGTTCACATTATGTGTCAATCCCTAAATGTAATTGAGTAGAATTCAGTATGTACAGGATTTTATGCGTGACCCTGTTTAAAAAAAGATAAAATAGGAAATGAAAGAGTGGGGAATAAGTGAGAAAAGATAATGAAGAACCAAAAAATGTGTCTTTTTCTGACAGTTCAAAAAACTATTCAAATAAAATTGTCATCCTCAGCCCAAGACAAAAAGTTTTATCCTTTGGGATCACTGGCAAAGTAGTAAGGCATTAGACCCTAACATTTTTGGCACCAGGGACTGGTTTCTTTATCCAAGAAAGTGGAGAGAGGGGGTGGAAAGGGGAGGGGCAATGGTTTGGGGATGAAACTGTTTCACCTTGGATCATCAGGCATTAGATTCTCATAGGGGTGCGCGACCTAGATCCCAGGCATGTGCAGTTCACAATAGGGTTCAACAGCTGTGAGAATCTAATGCCGCAGATCCAGCAGGAGGTGGAGCTCAGGCAGTAATGCTCACTGGCCTGCCGCTCACTCCTGCTGTGAGGTCTGGTTCTTAACAGGCTACAGACTAGTGGTGGGGATGGGGAGGTAGAGGACCCCTGTAGTAAGGAATTCTTCCTTATGAGGTCACACAAGGACTGCCAAAAGACATGAAACTCTCCATTTAAGTCCCCTCATGCCGCTTTAAATTGCTCCATCAATTTTCACCTGAAACTTCATCATTGCTATCCTCTTCTTTTAAACAGCCCCTGCTGACACCAGTCTCTCTAATTGTTAAACTAATTCTCTCAACACCTTTTATTTAAATCCCTTAAAGCAATGATATAATAAAGTTGCAGTAAATTTTGGCTGCTGCCCAATTTCTGTTCTAAAAATTCCTCCATTTCTCTTGCAAGGAGAAAGAAAAGGTTACTCTGAATATTTTAAAATATTAGGGAGATAAAAGCCAATTGAATTCCATTTTAATTTCTCAAATTCAATTGTTCATGAGATGAGAAAACAAATTCCATAACCAAAGCCACTGTGGATTTTAGAAGATAGCGGTTTTTGCACTCTTCCTTACTCAAGCTATGCTTCCATAAACCGAGAGCTAAGTCTTCATTTGAATTGAGTTAAATCTAGAGTCAGACTTAAAATTTTATGATCAAATCACGTTGACTACAACACAAAATACACATGATTATAATGCGTGCATGCTATATTTGGAAAATTATTCTAGGAACAAAATGAAGTAACTTACTTGCAAGTGAATGGAAGTCCTCTATTCCTAGTACATCTATTAGCACATTCGTCTGCAGTATTCACTTTTTTGGTTTTTATCTTCAGTGATGGGTCTATTTTGATTAGGGTAGTCTTTGCTGACTTTTTAAATTCATGAATTGTATTTCTTCTTTTCTTATGTCCCTCTATTAAATACAAAATGTTTTAAAAAGTAAACATTGGAGAAATGTTTTTAAGGCTCATAATATTTTAAAAAATCTTTAGGGATTATCTACAAGAAAATTATTTTACCTGACAACATACTAGATTTCCCGGGATGAGGAGCAGAGTGAGGTAGGGAATAGTTAAGATAAAAAGAATATGGGACTCAAGGAAAACCAAATAACTTGTCATGTAGAGTCACTCATTTACTTTCTTTCAAATTAAGGCACTTTTAAAAATTAGGACAGAGTTCATGCTAAAGAAATAAATAACATGATATTTTCCAAACATGAAAGCAAATATCAGTGCTAGAAACATATCATGTCATGCTTTATAATTAAACTTTTCATTTGTTTCTACAATTGGTCCTCATGTACATTATAGTATTAATTAGATAAGCCAACACAAAGACAAGTGAGAAACTTCTCAGTAAAAAATGTACAGTGGACAAATTCTTCTGACCTACCCTTTAAAGTCTTTCATATTATTCATATTTTAGCCCCTCTCTCCTCATTTAGTGCATAAATTTTTTTGTGCTTTTGGACACTATTTATTGGTATCACTCAACTATTTGTCTTGAGATCAAGCCAAATGCTGTAAGCCATATGTATGTAAAACTTCATCCTTTAATGTAGCAATATAATTTTTCTTCATGAAAATATAAGGCGCCTAGATAGCATGAGCCTCCTACTGAAAAACAGAACTAAAACATTTTGAAAGACTTAATCCTATGGAAAACTTTAGTGTATCAAGAACTAATCTCAGTTTGCCCAAAATAGCTCCAATCTTTTGGTGAACAGCATCTTCACAATGCAAATCAAAATGTTTAATAGGATGCAGCTATTGTGTAATAAGGATATATGTCCTTGTGCTCCTCTGCCTGTCAATTCTTTTTGAACATGCTTATACCAAATGCAGTAAGGATACATTCATTTTTAAGTCAAAGAAACCAAGAGAGAAAAAAATTAATTGACCACTTAGAAGATCTCAGATTGGAAACCTAGCAGCCTGGCTTAAAAACCACCACTCTGAACCACTGACCATGCCATCTGTATCTAAGAATTGTTATTGTAGTGGCAATATGGCATGTAACATTTTCCTGAAAAATTGGTTTAGAGCTAGCAGTAGAGAAGAAATGTGAATAGTAGAGACAGAAATACATTTCTGATCTGTGTCTGTTTTGAAATGTGTCAAAAAAGGAGAGTAACAATTTGGGTGCACAAAATTTGGAAATAAGACTAGCAGAGTGAGGTACCAAGAACGCCATCATACTCTGTTTGTCAGCAACCACTGGATCCAGTTGGTTTATGAGATAACCAGATGCTATTAATTAATGTCCATCCTAATTGCAGGCTGCAATAAATTAGAGAAAACATGATGTCCTCTAAATTTCTGAATCTCCAAAATTCCATAACACAATCTCCAAAAGACTAGTACTAATTCCTGCAATGATGCTTTCATTTTTAATTTTTCTTTGCCTTATAGGATAAAATGGCTATGGTACAACAGATACAGTTTAAAAGACATTTTAACATGAAAACAAAATCAAGCAAAAATCTGTCAACATGTTATTTATTGAGTGTAGACCAAATGCCGTGTATAACATTGGCAGACAGATGATAATTCTGGCAATCTTATTGACTTGCCAAATGACTTTATTTAATTACCTGAAATGTTAACATCCCAATTTCTCAATCTAAAATATAAAAGTTATGTTAACTTTAAACTATAACGATTAAGTAAATATTTGAAAATCATTTTGGATTTTTTAAAAGTTATACAAAGTTTTAGTTTTGTTTTTGAAATGTTATCCTTTTAATCTCTGGCATGAAGAAGAAACTTTTATTCTTTCAAGTAAAGAAGGCATAATTCATTTCAGATTTTGGTTCCTGTCACAGAACCATGTTAATAGGTGATAAGATTCTCTATTAAGAGTTTCTCCTTCCTTTGACCTTATTACACTGTTTCTAAGGTGCTTTGAACTGCTTCAGCACATAATAGTTATATAATCTCCTATACACATTTGAATGTTTCTTAAAAACAAATGATAGTTATTGATGAAAAAAATCCGTGAAAACAACTGTTCACCAAAATAGAAAAATTTTATATACATATTTCTCAAATGAATTTTATTGACTAAAAATATAAAATCAAAGTTGGCCTGATGTATAATGTATTTAATATACATGTCTAAGCATGAGGGAAAAGCATAAAAATAAATTCAAAAAGTCTAGGACAAACATTAAATGTGTCATGTATTTTAATGCATCAGATGAAACAAAATCTCTGGTTAATGTTCTGGTTTTTTCTCAATGGCATGCAAAATGAAGGCAAGCCGTGAGGACTATTCTGGAGAGCAGAGGTCTCTGTTGAATTCCTGATTGTATTTAATTCTACAGATCCTCAGTTGTCCTATTGAAATGTGTTAATGTGTTGTTGTACCTCATAAAAATAGTCTACACTTGCTTGCTGACAAATTTTCCAATCACTACCGTTCATCTAAAGATGAAAAAGCATTTTGCGAACCAAATCTATTATTTTCCCTTTACTAGATAATAAATAGAAGTGAAAAGCTTGTCTGGGGCTACAAAACTATCAGGGGCAATCGGAACCAGACACCAGAATTCTCTTCTCACTATTTTGTTCTCATGACATAGGAACTTTCCCTTTTAATTAAGTCATTTCTACTAAGCCAGTAACTAATTACTCAAAAATATGAAGTTGGAGCTAATTGTACATCATGTAATCGACACATCTATCAAATTAATTCCTTATTCAATAAAAGAAAAATTCAAAACAGAAGTCATTCAAAAACAGCATCTGAAAATAAAATTCCTTTGCTGAAAATAGTTTCAACATTCTCTTCCATATGTATTAACAACTGATGCTTGTTTTACTGAAAACAGTTAAAAGCCAAGCTTAATTTGGGAAGAAACTCAAAAATATCTTTGGATCAGATTTTTCCCTATTTTTTTTTGTGCGTGACTGTTAGTTGAAGTTTATAAACAAAATATTGAAATGAAATCAAAGGGTGAGAGATCACTACAAATTTGTCATGCTTTCCTGTGCTTTAAATTACAACTCCTTTTTCCTCTTCTCCCAGTATGGGAAAACATTCTGGAAGCTATATTTCCTGAAAAACCTGAAGTCCCTATTTTAGAGCTGAAGTCATTAGGATCCTAGTGAAAACTTATACACAAAAAGTAGGGTCAAATGTATCAAGGTGCTTGAAGAAAGACACATTTCTCCCTCTGGTCCCAGCACCTCACACTCATTTCTCTCAGTACCTCATATATTTTCTTCTCTGTGTGGACTAACCATTGACTTCAAAGGAAAATCATGCAAGGAAAGGATTTGCAGGGTGTGGAAAGAAGCAGGAATCTGGCTCCACATATTCTGAGAAACCTATCCACATGATTAGTGATTAACAGTTTGAAGTGGCAAGATGTTAAGATGAAAGTACACAAGTAATGGAAGGGAATGGTTGGGACTGGAGATTGTAAACTCTCCAGAGCCCACAATTTCAAATAGAAGTCTACATTTTTATTGCTCTTATCTAGGACATGGATTTTGCAAGTTGACAATCATCTCCCCTTCTTTAGAGAAGGCAACAATATCACTAATAAAGATACCAAGAAGACAAGAGATTGTGTCAAACATAAATCAAATGCTCGTATTTCAGAAGCAGCAGCAGCATCTCTTCCAAGGGGATTTACAAAGGGAAATGATGTTCAGTGTGATTTGAGGAGCCTCCCTAGGTATTTTCTTCCTTCTTGCCAGTTCTTGTTTAAAGTTTTATTCTTCTAGAAGCCTCATCCTGGTCTCCACCTTCACTGTCTGTTTCTGCCTAAAACTTTCCTTTCACACAGGAACTGAAGCAACCACACTGAAGTACAACTTCAATCAAGTATCTTTTCAACAAAAAGCTGCTCCCATGACATTCATTTGAAAGACCACATGGTTGAGCATGACACTGAATTCTATCCATTCTACCTCGTCTTACTTTTCCAGTCACAGACAGTATTCCTCATCACACATCCAGTACTTCTGCCTCAAATGCTTGCCTTCTGTTGCTGGGGCAGGGGAGGCAGGACCTTCCAGGGACATTCCTTATACTTATGAACCTCTGTACTTTGGGCCACTTACGTTCCTCTGCTAAGGTACTGACTTTTCCACCATCCATCTTTTCATATTGACTTTAGTACCACATCACCCTTTAACCTGGTTTGCTAGAAATGAACTCTCAAACTATAGTTCAAAGCATTTCTAACAGAGGGTTTTAAAAAATATATCACTTAACCAAATGATTTTTTAAAAACAAGTTTCAGTTGATTTCACTGTTGTTGACTTCAGTATAAATAAAAGAGGCAAAAAACAAAAACACCACATAGTCCATCCACATAGATTTGGGTAGGAATCTCAGCTCTGTCCCTTAACTTACAAAGAAATAAGATAACAGGTCTTTGAACCTCAGTTTCCTCAGGCAAAATGAGTCCAATAGTGCCAATCTTATTAGAATTAACTAAAATGTACTTTATTACTTAGTTCATGCTCAACAAATTTAAGTTCCTTTCTCATTTGTTCATCTTTATATCCCCCCCCACACTCCTAACATTAGGTGCTCACTTAATGCTTCTTTTGTCACTGAGGACTGGATATTTGTTTCCAATGTAGATGGGAGTTAATAATGGGTAATTCTATATAGACTAACTTCTACAAACATGGCTTGGGCCCATTATGTTGAATATTTCTTAAGAAGATTTTTTTAAAAGTATCTCCATAAGGTATTCTGTTCATAGGTGGTTGTCAGCTTTTTATAGTACATACTTCTTTTCTAACAATATTTTATTTTACAATATGGACAAACATAAATTCATAGAATAAATAAAAAATTATAACCAAAGCTAGTAACATCAACAAAAGAAACCTCTAAATAGTCAATATTAAATGACATTTAAAAAAGAACAAATTTTATGTGTTCTAAAAGGCTAACCGTGTTTTTCATTTTAGGGGTTATTTTAAAAAAAACTATCAAAATAAACTGGCCACCTAAACAAAGGCGGACCCTCCTTTGATGACAATTTTAGAATTATCCACTTCAGGAATTATTCACAGCATATTTGTAATTCCCAACTGGACTCTCCTTGCCTGCCAGCACTCTTGGGCTGCATTCTGCCTGTGCTCAGGAAACACAGTCATTTCTACATTAGGCAAAGTGAAATATAATTACAAATGTATGTCTCCTGCCAAAAGATCATAATGCATGCCAAAAACAAATAGACACTGGCTATGGTTGATCTACTGTTTGGGTTTTCCACACTGTGTTCCCCTTGCATTAGCACAGATGAATTCAGGTAACCAGATTCTTCTTCAGAACAGTGACATTTTAATCTTTGTAAATGAAAACCCTCAAGATATTAGCCATTATTTCGATTTATGCTCAAAATCCCCTAAAACAGCAGTCTTCTGTGAAGCAACTTTTTTTTTTTTTTTTTGAGACAGTGTAGCTCTGTCACCCAGGCTGGAGTGCATTGGTCCGATCTTGGCTCACTGCAACCTCCACCTAATGGGTTGAAGCGATTCTCCTGCCTTAGCCTCCCAAGTGAGTAGCTGGGATTACAGACACGTGCCACCCTACCGGCTAGTTTTTTTGTATTTTTAGTAAAGACTGGATTTCACCATCTTAGCCAGGATGGTCTTGATCTCCTGACCTCGTGATCCACCCGCCTCGGCCTCCCAAAGTGCTGGGACTACAGGCGTGAGCCATCACATCCTACCTTGTGAAGCAATTTTAACATGACACATCTCAAGCATAATAACCTGCTTGATTTGAACTTACTTCTTTTTCACTGCTTCAGAAATCTTACGTAAATGCTTTCAAAGTGACCCTTTTCCAAACAGTGTCATTTTCCAAAAGGGCCACTTCACAAAATAAAAGAAAACCAGGTGGGTTGAATGATTTTCCTTTTCATGTAGCAAATTCTTGAGGTTTTTAACCCTTGTAGCCTATCAGAAACTAGATCAGAGGTCTGATAAATTTCACGTGTAACATCTCAAAAGATACCGCCAGTTCTCTTTTTTATATTGTAAAAAGGCCATGTCTCCATCTGGACATTTGTTCCATTCTTTTATTCCCCTGTGCCCACCCTTGATATTCACTGCCTTCTCCCGTTGGCACCCCAGCCACTACAATGATAATACAACCAAATACAGATGTTTCCTCTTGTCCTGATAACAAGAGAAACTTCCCAAAGCAGCAAATGAGGTCTCTAAACCTCCAGGCAATATGAACTTTCAAGCAACTCCTCCCCAACCGGCAAATCCAAGGGAGAAAGTGGGAGATGGAGAGGGGCAGTTCTGCAGCCTTAGTCAAAGTCTCCGTGCACTGTAGTTTCAAAAGGGCAGGCATCCACACCCAGAAAGAATAAGATCCTTAAACAGAGGCTTTCTCTTTCATTTTTATGATATGCAAATACTCAGAGTTTATTCTGCCTCCTCCAAATGAAAACCTGTACAAAGTCATAATTTGGCCCCGAATGTTGTGTAAGTGATGTGGGGTAGTGAATTATCATGAAAAATTGTCCTCAGGAAAAAGATGACTTCCTGCTGGACTGACCATCACTCTCCCCTCTTCAGACCAGACCCTCTCTTTAGCTTTAAACTTGTCCAGAGCAGCCAAGTTCAGCCAGTATTAGCACTTCCTTCCTACCCCATAATCCATAATTATTAGGCTAAATGGGACCACACTTGGGTTGGAGGTGGAGCGGAGTTGAGGGAATGTTAATTATCATTTTAAATGCTATTCAAACAAAAAAAAAAGAATGTCAAAAGAAAGCATAATGAGAGCTTTTAGAAACCTATACTACATACTGAGTTCAGAAAGGATGCTGCGAATAGGGTAAAAAGAGGGTGTTAAAAAGAATAGGGAAGGTTAGCCAGAGAGTTAAATACTAATAATAATTATGAAGATGAAGGAAACTAACCTGCATAGGGGATGGCGATGGGGAGCAGGAGGAGATGCAGGAGGACATGCTGCAGCAGCAGGGCTGGCAGGAGTTTGGTCACCCACATGGTGCTGCTGGACCGGCTGGCGGATCCCACTGGAGGAGATGCCTGGGTGAAAGAATCCTGTCCGGAGTCAGTGCCTAAAAGAGCCAGTCGGCTCTGAGCTGCTTTTTATTGCGATGAGCTAAGTTTGTTGTGTGATTAACTGGAAAGATCTAGGTCTGAACTCCCTCTTACGGTAAGAAACTGTTTAACAACAGCCCTTTACTCTCTTCCAGCCCCCTCCTTTCCTCACTCGCCCCCCCTTCAACACCACCAAACAGATCCCACCCCCCCTTCCCCGCCTCCCCCCAACCCTACGCTTAGGAAAGAAACTTACAAAGAAAAGGTCACCTGGCCTGAGGCCAGCTTCAATTTGGAAGCTGGAGCTCCAGATCCCAGTGGCTCCTATCCGAGTAAGGAAGGGAGGAGCAAGGCTGAGCCCACTAGCTAAATCAAGGCACAGGCAGAGGACCAATTCGCTCAGTTTAAACAGGAAAATACATGTGTTTATATATCTGTTTGGGAAAAGAGGAAGGGGAAGCAGCATAAGAAGAAAGCGAAGAGCTGTCGTTCAACCAAATGTGCCCCAGCTCCTAATCTGTTTAGTTTCCCAGCTAGAGCAATCGAGGGATTCAAAACACTGACACAGTTTCCCTAGGGGTTTAGAGACCTGGCAGAGGACGGAGGGGGGCCAGAGAGGAGAGCTCAGGCAAGTCCAGCCCAGGTAGAAAGAGGTTAGGTAAGAAAAGGGTGTGGTATTGTGGGGCAAATTTAAGCAAGCAAAGCAAAAGCACGCAGATTGTCAGATAAAAAAAATTACCCCTGCCCCATGGGCTCAGAGCAGGCGGTTCTTTTTTTTCCACACAAACTATGGTAAACTCACAAAATACCATACATTTACCAAAAGTATAAAAAATAAACTTGTGTGATTAATCTGACTTTTTAAGAGAAATTCCAATTAATAGTCATTGTCCACTGCCTGTCCCTGACAGGTAAATATACCATGTGTCTTGTACAGGCACACATGTGTGCACAGCACCCATTCACACATGTTGGTGTGTACATATGCATGCACTGGCTAGGTCAGACTTTCACTGGAAATCCCTCAAGCTGTTTGAACTCATGAGTGTTGAATACGCCTCTCTTTTCCAGCTTCACCCGCCTGCACATGACAGTTTCTCAAAGTCTAAGTGAAAGGATGAAGAGCTTGTATCAGGGGGAGGGGACTCCTAGGTGTCAAATCTTTGTGAGATCATTGCCCAGACCCCTCAATTGATTCAGAGAATTTGTCTTTGCGCCCCAAGGTGAATGCTCTGGAAACTTTAAGGACGAGCTTGCTTTCTTTCTTTTTCTTCCCCCGCTTGCCCACCCCCCGCCCCACCAAGGATGAGTGTTTTTATTGGCGTTGGGACTGGAAACTCTATAGGGGCTTCTGGTTTCTGGGCTGAGGGTTGGGTGTAGAGTCTTGAGTCAAAGGCCTAGGACTAGGGCAGGGTATCAGAGGGTGATGCCATCCTCGTACAGGGACAGCAGCAGCAGGACAGTCCAGCCGCCCAGCAGGCCCACGTTGTGCAGCAGGAGGAAGAGCCAGGACCGCGGGTCCCGCACTTTCAACATGACCGGGAACGTGTCGCAGAGCCCCAGGTAGAGGATCAGGCCCGTGGCAAACCGCCAGGATCCAGACCTCGCTCTCCTCGCCGACTCCGATCGCGAATGCCATGTAGAGACCTGCGAAGGCCATGAGCGCGGAGGCCGGGTTCGGCAGCAGCGCTTGGCGCACGGACAGCCGCGCGTGCAGCAAGGCCGCGAAGTCCCCGAGCCCAGCGAGGTGGCCAGCCCGGCCTTCCAGGAGGACGCGAGGGCAGCGCCAGGACCAGCCCAGCGGCGGAGTTGTGCACGGCGTCGCCCAGCCTGATCACAGAGGGCAGCAGCCTCCACTCTGGGCTCAGGGTTCAGCAGCTCCTGGCTCTCCTTAGCCACCAGGTCTGCTCTTTTTGTTTCTGAGGGACGCTGAGGGATACTTGCCCCTGTCTCTCTCTCAGATGGATGTTAGTAGGGAACTGTGCCCCTGTCCACAGAGGAAGGGAAAGTGGGCCGAACGTGGGAATGACAGGCGCGGCGTGTAGCTGTACGGAAGTGATTGTGGAGCAGAATTCAAGACATCCACGGAACAGCCTTCCCTCCACATACCGCCTTCGTTCGTCCTCCTCGAGCTCCTCGCCCCTACTTTCAGGGAAAAGCAATCTGCCTGATAAGTCCCTGAGGTTGTGGGCTGTCTAGAGATGCTAGAGATTAAGATAGTTCTATTTTATGTTACCCGTTTCTGTTGCTAATCTTTCTCTTTTACCATTTCCTCCTGACTTAAAAATCTTTTGTCAGCCTCTCTCTGGTGTCCCCAGGATCCATTTTACTTTCTTTTTACTGTTCATCAGACGTTTTGGAAAATCTCAGTTCTGTGTACTGCCTGACTGTGACCCTGAATTACTCCGCTGCATCTCTTGTACTTTATTAGGGTGTAGGGCTCCAAAAACGATACCCCAAATGAAGGCCTCAGAAGCAGATCTGTCTGATCTTCTGCCCTCCAGTCTCTGGCCCTTCATTCTCCCCCAAGAGGAGCCATAGAAACTAGAATTCCTCTTTCCCAAGGTGGCTCCTAGAAACCAGAATCCTTTTTCCCAAACCAGCCATAAAACCTAAACATAATACTCTAACACCTCAACTTTCTGTGTGAAATCTGGCCATAAAGACGTTATCTGACCTAGCTTGTTTGATCGTGGCTCATAAGAGCCCATTCCAGAGAGGGTTCTGCCGCGTACCCAGAGGAATGAATACTGCAGAGAGATATCAGGAAGACTCTTATCTTGCTAGGTGTCCCCACTCAGTCTGTTAGCATGAGGTCATACTCCTTTTGACCAGTTGTATTTCTCCACACCTGCCCACACTTTGTTGAACCGAAGCATAAAAATGGACAATTTGTGTTAACTTTGGGTCTTTTTCCAAAGGCTCTCGTGTTGGGTAAAATTATGATCAAATAAATTTGTATGCCTCTTCTCCTATGGATCAGCCTCTTGTCAGTAATTTTTTAGCAAACCTTCGGAGAGCAATGGAATTTTTTTTTTCTTGGCCCAACAAGGGATTAAAGCTGTTTTTTAAAAGAAGCTAGAGTAGGTAAGGAAGGAAAAAGAACAGTGCTTGTATTTATTTTTTTTCTCTCTCCAAAAAATTAGAGTCAAGGATGTAAATTATTGTTATAAGTTTGGAGCAAAATTAATCTAGGATAAGGGGTTTAGGACATTAGAAAATTGAAGAAACTTATTTATTAGATTACATTTCTTCACAACTTTTTTACTCTCACAGTCAATATTTTAAATACAATTTAAAACCTACATAATTTATATATTCATATTTCTTTTTGACAAAAATTATTTGGTCTTTACTGAAATCGTCACTAATACACACTGAGCTTTTAATATATGCTAAGCATCACACTAAGTACCATTGAAAATTATTTAATCCTTACAATAAGTTTAAGAAAGATTATTAAAATTATTATTTTACAGTTAAGGAAACATAGGTTAAGTTATTTTTATTCTTAAATAACTTGCCCAAGATCCTAAAGTAATATTCAAGTGTCAGATTCAGATTAGTGATACCCCAAAGAATGGTACAAATACGTTTTTTAAACCTCATGAGGAGAAGAATCACATGTTCCAGAGTATAATCACCAAAATAAGTCTGAGACTGGATATATAGGAGATGTTCCACAATAATTTATAAAATAAATCAGTACATAATTTTAAATCTCTCAAAACTATAATGAAACATTCAAATGAAATTCACATTTTGCTATTACTTTAGCCTATTTTGAAAACACATTCTCTTTGTTCTTTCTACATCATACAATGCTTTTTCCCATCATCTAATACTTGCCTTACATACGTATACCTCATTTTATTGCCCTTTACTGTATTATGCCTCACAGACATGGTGATTTTACAGATTGAAGTTTTGTGGCATCCTTGAATTAAGCAAGTCTGTTGGTGCCGTTTTTCCAATAGCATGTGCTCACATTATATCTCTGTGTCACATTTTGGTAATTCTTACAACATTTCACATTTTTCATTATTATTTTACATGATGATCTGTGATCAGTGTTACTGTTATAATTGTTTTTGGAGTACCACAAACCACAACCCAAACTTTATCCATTAATGTGTGTATTCTGACTACTCCACTGACCAGCTGTTATCCACCTCTCTCTCCCTCCCCTCAGCCTATTTCCTAAAACACAGCATTATTGAAATTAGGCCAATTGATAGCCCAGCAATGACCTCTAAGCATTCAAGTGAAAGGAAGAGTTGCCTGTCTCTTCCTTGAATTCAAAAGCTAGAAATAATTAAGCTTTTGGGGAAAGTCATGCCCAAAGATGAGTTAGGTCAAAACCAGTTCTCTCGCACCAAACAGCCAAGTTGCGAATGCAAAAGAAAAGTTCTTAAAGAAAATTAGAACTGCTACTTCATTGAACACACAAATGATAAGAGAGCAGAACAGCCTTATTCCTGATATGCAGAAAATTTGAGGAGTCTGGACAGAAGATCAAATCAGCTGAAATAGTCCCTTAAACCAAAGCCTAATCCACAGCAAGGCTGTGAACATCAGGCAAGACCCTCCAACAGCAAAAAGGACTCACTGAAGGCTCATATGATTGTTAGCATTTTTTAGCAGTAAGGTATTTTTAAGTTAAGGTTGAACATTTTTAAACCTAATGCTACTGCACACTTAATAGTCTGCTGTATAACTTTTATATGCACTGGGAAAAAAACAAACAAAAAATCATGTGACTTGCTTTATTGGGATTTTTGCTTGATCACAGTGGTCTGAAACCAAAGGAGTAGTATTCCAAGGTATGCCGGTACTTCTTAGGTGTTAAACAGTTTGTATAAATCCTCAAAAAGTTGTGTCTGAAAAGTTTTTGATAAAATAACTTGTAAAGAGATTACTTTAAATACTACATTTTGTGTCAATACTAGATAGATACTCATTACCCTATAATATCATTTTATATCTGTCTTATGATTGAGGTTTCTAGTATCTCATGGATACTAGATGGATTTAATGGAAAAGCCTGTATTACCGTACTTTTTTAAAGGCTGCTGCT